ATTCTTGGGCTCAATCAACGATGATGTGAGGGCATGGGACTATTGTTGCAAAGATGGGGGTATGGAGCAGATGTAGTCCTTTAAATGGGATGGTGCTTGCCTAGAACGAGACCGAGGTTGTTGATCTATGGTATTGGTCAGATGAAACATCATGATGGGAGTGTTGTGAAATAATAGTGGATTCAACATCCTCTTGGGGGAAAGGAGTAATAGGTGAGGGAACGGGCCGAATTGGATTTGGGTGGCAGTCCTTAAAAGGAAATTGGGTTTAATAAAAATTCACATCTCTAGATACAAATATGGTTTTGGACTCTAGACCATACAGGCAATATCCTTTTGGGGCATACGGGTATCCCACAAATATGCATTTTCGGGCTTGTGTGGCAAATTTATCATGAGTTGGTGGAGCTACCCGAGCAAAACATAAACACCCGAAAACCTTAAAGTGGGAATAAGTAGATCTGTTGAGCAAAACTTCAACTAGAGATTTTCCTTGAAGTTTGGGTGTAGTTTATGATGTAGGCTGCTGTAAGTATACACTCGCCCCAAAAAGTGATTGGAAGATTGGCTTCAAATCTGAGAGCACGGGCTACTTCCAACAAATGTTGGTGTTTGCATTCCGCAACACCATTCTGTTGGGGCATGTCAACACAAGATCATTGATGTATGATCCCTGCTTGTGAATAAAATTGTTGCATGGGTCCAGACAAGAATTCAGACCCACTATCTGATTTGATGTACTTTATAGTAGCATTATATTATGTCTTAACCATGTGACAAAATGAGACAAAAAAAACCAAAGTATTTGTCTTATGTTTCATCAGGTAAACCCACGTGCTGTGAGTACAATCATCCACTATAGTGAGAAAGTAATGTGCCCCACTATGGGAGGGCATTTTATATCTACCCCAAATATCACAATGTAACAATTCGAAAGGTACTGTAGATTGAGTGGTACTAATTGGAAATGGAAGTCTAGTAAGTTTCGCCTTGTGGCAAATTTCACAGCCTCGTTCTGCATCCCTAGGAGAATGACCAAAAATAGTGGTGACCCGAGGAGATGATGCATGCCCTAAGCATTGATGCCATAGCATGTATGTCAATGGTGGGGTAATGTCGTTGGTGGAGTTATGAGCTGAGTTGGATGGTGAGGTAGAAGGTGGGTGAAAGTAGTATATTCCATTCCACATCTTACCCCTCCCAATCTCCTTCCTCGAGACTAGGTCCTGTAAAATACAGAAATTAGGGTAGAAAGTAACTATACAATTCAGTTGGGAGGTTAATTTGCTGACTGAAAGTAGATTGTAGTGGAAATCAAGAACACAAAGAATGTGATCTACAGTGAGCTGAGGTGTGATCTTGCAAGAACCTTGATGTATTATAGGTAATGTGGAACCATCAAGCAAACTAACAAACTTTGGTGAATTTATGGAGTAGCATGTAGTGAGATCAACATTGGACGGTGACATGCGGTCTGATACTCCACTGTCAAGTATCCAGTGTATGGAATTTAAAGATGAGGTATGAGTGTTAGCTTGCAGCTTGCCTTGACCAATGAGTGACAACAGTTGATTATAATGATCCAATGTAAAGACAGGAGCAAGATTGTCTACAGTTGTAGAAACATGTGCTGCAGCAGCAGGTAGCATATTCTATTTCTTAGATCTATTTGATCTGTTATGATCCCAATTTGGGGGATAACCCACTAGTTTGAAGCATCGGTCCCTAGTGTGACCTTTCTTTTTGTAGTGATTACAATAGAGTTTGCTGCGAGACTGAGAATAAGGATCTTGCATGTGATGTCTTGATTTGGACTGGACGACCATGGCTGCGGCCTCAAGATTTTGAATAGTACAATGTGAAGCTACTGATTGATGCCATTCTTCTTGGATGATCAACGCATAAGCACGATTGATTCCAATAATTGGTTCAGTAGCCAGTATGTTGGATTGAATAGAATTGAATTTGCCATTCAATCCCATGAGAAATTGATGCAATTTTTCCCGTTCTCTTTCTGCCACATAGTCTTTGGCCGCACCATAAACACAGACAAGTACAGGAATGAGGGCATACATCTCATCCCATAGTCCCTGAAATTTTGCAAAATATGTAGCTACATTCATCGAACCCTGATTCAAGAGTGTAATGTCACATTTCAACTGGTGGATTCTTGGAACGTTGCCTTGTGAATAATGATCCTCTATGTCTTTCTAGATTTCTTGAGCTGTCTCAATGTATGCTATACTTTCATGGATATTTTTGGTCATAGAATTGAACCAGCCGATCACTGGAGGTCAAATATGGACACGACAGACTTCCATCTACAAAGGAGAATTTGTTTTTCGCCTGGAGAGCATCTTCATTGCATGCCTCCAAGTCGAATAGTTGTTGCCGGTGAGTGGCGCTGAAGCAAGCACTTCCCCTGGATTGTCCGATGGTTGAAGAAAGTAAGGAGACCTTGGATCGCTCTCGGCCATGGTGGTTGTGTTGGTATTCGCCATTAAAGAACACAAAAAAAAAAAATCAAGAGAAGAAAACAAGGAAAACAGGTGGGATGGATCTACCGCTCTGATACCATAATAGAAGACCAACTACGCAACAGAAAATGAAACTAACTTGAAGAAAAACTTCATATATTGACATATGGAAGATGATGGAAATATATACAATGTCAGGGAAAATTCCAAATGTTAAGAAGTAAGTCCACGTGGGTAAATTAATTCGAACCATTTGGAATTCTGGGACTATAAGTTAAGTTTTGCATATCCTTCTAATACTCCAGTTCGAGCTTCTACAACAGAACCCGACAAATCCGACCCCTTTTTCATCCTCCACAGCATACAAACTCCTAGAACCAGACGAACCCACAATGCTCCCCTTCCGCTGTAAACTGATCACCGATGAAGATTAACATGTGATTAATATGAAATATGCCTTGCTTACCTTAACTGATGCAAACAATATCTCTTTCAGCCTTAAACAACAATGGTCAGAGAAATTGAGGAAGAAAATTTAAGTTTGTCTGGGAGAGGGAAATGGAGAAATAATAGTAAGAACGAGCGAAGGGTTATAGTGTGATATAGGGGAAGAGAAGAAAAATGGGAATAATGGCAAGAAATTACATCTAGGAAGGGAGTTCAATTGTTTGTTGGTGTTAGATTTTGTGAGTTTTGGGGGTAAAAGGAGGGGCTAACGAACGTCTCGTTAACCCTGTACGTGCTACAAGTAGAAGGCATGTGAAGGACAGATGGCACACTATTGGCGTGTGGGATATTTGTGGGGCGAGAGCGGGTGGGGCGCAGATTTGAACTCCTAATTTAATGGTCGATGGGGTATTTGTAGCAATATAAAAATTCAAGGGGGTGTTTATCATAAAAAAAGCATAAGGGGTCTTTGTCATTGACCCCATATAATTTACCCAAAATATTGATATACACATACGTACATGTACATACATACATATATAAGCAGGAATCCCCAAGGGCGGAATTGAGAGCCCCATGGGGTGGGGAGTATTCTCCCTATCCTCACCCGTCTTTATCAATAGAGATGAAAATTTCCCCATCCTAATCCCCATAGAGGAAAAATTATTCCCATCCTTGTCCCATTCGAGTCAGATCCCCATAAAGGTTGGAGAAATGGGGAAATTGCTGTCCCTACTAGGGTGTTATTACACACATACGATTAATCCCTTATGCTATGCAGTCATTAAGTTCAAGTAATCCAGGTTCAAGTAAAAACAAAACCTAAGCCAATGATGTTGCTCAAAGAGACAGTCTGACCCTGATTTAGCATTTTAAATTGCTTTAGGCTTAGGCCTTCAGATCAGGTTCGTTCAAACAATTGGTTTATTTTTATCTTTTAGGCTGAGTTTGAGAAAAGTGTGAATACAAATATGTACTATATACAATGTTTATATGATATTTCTAAACCTTATATTTATACTGTATGTATTTGCACCCCTTCTGTAACAGAGCCTTTGGGGTATCAATTATAAAAGGTGTTTGTCAATATGTATGATTTTAGGCCCCGTTTGGTTTGTAGGAATTGAGTATGGAATCAGAATTGAAATGGACTATTCTGATTCCAATTATTTGGTTGAGTGGAATTGGAATCCCAATCCTGTTTTTTTGGTGGAATGTCATTCCCCCATTTGAGGAATGGCCATTCCCTCCACCTCTCTTGGGAATGAAATCCCATTTGTGTTGATTCCAATTTTCATTCTCATTCCTGTCTGAACCAAACAGACTATGAGAATAAACCATTCCAATTCCAAAATTATTTTGTAGAAAAATGTAGAATTTATGCATTTTTTTTTATAAAATGTTGTACTAGTTTTTTTATTAAGTATTATTTTTAGGTAAATAACTTACTTTCTTATAGAAACGGGGAGTTATAAAAACAACTATAGGATTAAAATGCCCTTACCAACACACAAAACCCAAAATTAAAAATGATTTTAAGTTTTTAACAGAGGAAAATAACCAATTTATACGAGAAAATGAGTTGGTGTAAAAGAACTAAGGGTCTGTTTGGTTTACGGGAAAAGGGGCCTGGAATCAAAATCGAAAGGGGTCATTTTGACTCTTCTATTCCAACCATTTGGTTGGGTGGAATCAACATTCCCTCATTTGAGAGAATGGCCATTCCCTCCTGTCTTCTTATTTGGAAATGAAATCCCATTCCATCTTATTCCAATTCTTATTGGAACCAAATAGACTATGGGAATAGATCATTCTGATTCTGATTCTAATTCCAATTCCCACAGTTGACCAAACGGACCCTAATATGCTCCAGACAAACGAACGAGGCATTCAATTTCAAAGCGAAGTGCATTAATAACTGATAAAAAGGGCATGGTAGTAAACAATCATGCCAATTCTTCGGGTATCAGGGGTAATTTAGTAATTTAAGTGGAAACCGTTTTTGGCTCTCGCCTGTCGAGCTGTTGAAAAGCGCGAAAACAGTTGAAAAACCTGATTCCTTCGTTTCCCCCCATTCATTGAGAGGCAGACAGCGATACCCCTGTAAATGTAATTGAAAACCGAGAATAAAAAACAAATCCGTTCAAATTCGTGGATTCGAAATATTTCAAATCTAAGAGAAAGCGCCTTGAATGATGGACATTGTTTCAGGTCCGATCGGTTCGTGTTCGAAAGAACATCAAAAGATCTATCAGGATTGGTTTAACTATGCCGACTCCGGTCAGCCTTTCTGCTCCTGCATTTCTTTCTGCTTCTGTTTCCTTTCTAACGGCCTTGTCTTTATTAATTTATCATATTCCACTTTCTCTTTCCCCTCTTTTTGTTTTCTTTTTCAGATGGCGATGGCCGCCTTACGGGAAACGATGCGACCAAGTTCTTGGCCATGTCCAAGTTATCTCGGTCAGAACTCAAGGAGGTTTCACTAGTTTCACCCTTTTTTTTTTTAATTTATTTTTTACCTGGGGGATTTTGCATTATTCGTTTTTTGATCGGTTTCGGCTTATTTCCTTTTATATGTTGTATCCTCTTCTTATTAGCCCTTGCATTCCACGTTCAAAGTAGCTCTACACTGGAATTCCATGGACCCACCAAGTGGTAACTTGCTTGGTTATCGTTGTAGTGGTTCCTGCTGAATCGATGAATTAGTAGCTGTTTGTGTGGATTTTGAAGAAATCCTTACGGCATAGATACGAGAATTTTATCCATACAATCATTGGAACGACTCTGTTTTATGTAACATTTAGTCGTGATTTTATGTATCTAAGGCTGATTTACATGAGAACTGTGTTTCTAATCTCTTTACTTTTAAATTTGGAGAGCTGTGGATTTGAGGACCTATATGTCCTCTGAATCCATTTGCTCCTTCTATACAAATGGGAACATGTAACAGGACACCCCCTACCCCTTCTTTTTTTTTTTTCTCCAAAAGATACTTCTTTTGGTCACTCACAGGTTTGTGGTATAATCTTTGCTTATACCGTTCCTAGGGCTGGGATTAAATGTTAGTTTATTTCACTTTCAAATATTTGTTTTCTCCTCCAATGTAGTAAATATACTAATACTTATTGGGTTTATGTAATTGTAGATTTTCATGGTCTAAAAATTTTGTTAGCTTGCATACATTGGGATTTGGTTACTAGCTTTTTGGATTTTGGTTGCTAGCTATATCTGTGGAAACTGTAGATTCTAAGTGACAATGTAAATTTCCATTGTGCTGACCATTTTTTAGCTTGTAATTATTTTGTATTAACTAGTCATCTTTTTTTGGTTTAAAGGTCTGGGCCATTGCAGATTCCAAACGACAAGGATTTCTTGGTTTCAAAGAGTTCATTACTGCAATGCAGGTCGTATTTCAATATCTTCTTTTATCTTATTAATTTGATAAGAACTTGGTCTTTACTGAATTCTCATGATGAACAGCTAATTGCTCTGGCACAAGCAGGACATGAAATAACACTAGACCTTCTTAGCAGTGGAAGTAAGCATGGAAGCACATTTTAGCCTTAGTCCTTCTATCATATGTTGAGCTGCAGTGCTTTATTCAGATCAGAGACAAGTATAAGATTGTAACTACTTATTGATAAGCATGCCTATCTAGTTCTCCAACTTATATTTAGCCATCTGATCTAGTTATTTATTAGTTTTGTTCATTCTTTTTTTGGTTGCAGTTGACCTGGAGAATTTAAACCCTCCAGTGATGGAAGGTTTGACCATTTTAATGGCTGTAAGTATTTAATATAATAGCTTATGTGATGCAAGTTAAACATTTGTTGTGTCTTAATATTCATTTTCTTATTGACTTTCAGAAAATTAAACAAGCACCCAAAAAACCTGAATCTGAAAAAGGTAACTAAACTCTTTCAAGCTTCTTCTTAACTCACCCTTTTCATTGACTCCCTTAAAAATTTCTAATTGGTATTATTGTTTTTTCCCGTAATTTTGGTATTGATGATTTTGTGTGGTAACTACCCAACCCAACCATCACCATCAGCTAATTGGTTTTCTTCTTCAAGATCTTCAAAGAAGGTAAAATTTTCATTGTTATAGTTTCATTTTGATATAATTAGATTTGTCTTTAAGCAAATAGGTTTCAATATGTCCCATATTTGTCATCTTCTTTTTCTGTCTTTAGCAACCTTCTGAGTACATATTTTTTCTAGTTGTGCTTTTGGCCTATTGTAAACCTCCAGTAGAACTGTCCATTTGACGATGATCTCACTCGGATTTGGAACCTCCTTGCATTGGATTTTCCAACGTGAAATTTAGTCCCCTGAGTGCCACATATGAATTGACTTTACACATCTATCCTCTATATTATTTATCCCACCAGAAACAAGAAGGCAGTACAATTTTGGAATTTTCTTTAAATGGTGCATGCTTCATGTCATTCTCGTCGGTGTTCTAAAAGATGACCTAGGTTTACAACTTACAAGCAAGGCTCATTTTGTTGGATGCACTTGATGATGGAATCGTTCTGATTGATCATATCCATGCAAACTTTACTTTTTTTTTTTTTCTCTCAAGTATACATTAATGGCAATTAGTTGTCGATAGTCTCACTTTGAATGAACACTAAAGCCCACACTTCTGATATAAGAGACTTTTATTTTATTTTTCTTCATTATTTTATTGGGAACTGTCTTGACTTTCTCATATATTTATATCACGTGACAAATTGTTTTTCTTTTCTATTCATATGCTTCTTTGAGTTGGAAATATCAATGTTTTGGGTTTGTAGCTCAGCCTTTTTACTCTATTTTTTTTTTCACATGTGCAGTTATTTTTAAACTCAGTTACCTCAATAGTTGATGGCTTGAAGAAGCTGTACACTGAAAAGCTAAAACCTTTGGAGGTTACCTACCATTTTAATGATTTTGTATCTCCCTTATTGGTGAGTTAATAATGTACCTGACTTTTCCTTTAATTGAAAAAACATCCACCTTTTGCCCCATCCTTTTTTACCTGAAATATCATGAGTTTTCATTGAGGAGAATAGTTAGATTTGGGAGATGGGTAGATGCTTGTTCTTCTTGGATTTAATCACCTATTTCGTTTGCCCTATCTGTTTAACTTGCAGACAAATAGTGATTTTGATGCAAGGCCTATGGTAATGCTTTTGGGTCAGTATTCCACTGGTAAAACAACATTCATAACACACTTGCTTAAAAGTAGTTATCCAGGTAAGTTAAAACTATCTCGTTTATTTGTTATTTTTTTATTCTTGCACCATTCTTTCATTTTTTCTCTTATATGAGATAGGAAGACGGCTCATGCTATTTTAGTTGATGTTTCCTTAATCTTTGCCAGGTGCTCACATTGGACCAGAACCCACAACTGACAGATTTGTTGTTGTTATGGTATCTCGAATTTTCTTTGTTTTCCTTGTATTCCCGAGACCTTTCAATTTTGAACTAATTAGTTTTTCTTAATATCCTTCATTCCTTGTGACCACATTTTTTTTTAAATTGGTCCTCAGTTGTTTATATCCTTACATTTTTCACTTATATGAGTCCGAGGGTGGCCACTTTGTTCAAAAGGTTAGGATTGTACCCAGTATACCCCTTCCAATGGACAGACATTGGATAATGGCCTTTGTTTTTCACTTATATTTAAATGAAAATTTTCTGGAATCTATTGGGCATTTTTTTCTTCATTTTCTGTTTGGAGAAATAGATTGAAATTGTGGAGAAATAGACTAGTAATTTAGTGAAGTCCCTGCCATATTAGTTGTCTTTTTTTTTATTTATCTGTTATTAGTCTTTCTGGGCCTACTATTATTGCTGTTATTGTTTATTAAGGAGTTTGTTGGGCAAGGGCATAGATGTCATTGTAGATCTTATTATAATAGAAACATATAAATACCTAATCTGGGCGGCAAAAACCAATTAAGATCTGTGCCCTTTCTCTTCTCATTCTTCTTCTATTCTCTTCCCTTCTCTTCCTCTCTTCTTTCTTCTGCTTTTCCCTTATTTCTTTTTGGTTTTTTCCTGCTGAAACTACATCAGAGTATTGATCAACTGTGAACAGCACCTGCCATCTTGGTATCAGAGCCAGGTTTAGGGCTTGTTAGGGCTCCTATGTAGGCTTCTTCCAGCTGGCCACATGAGGATGTATTAGGGCTGGATACTTCAGACTATCTCGCCTGATTCTTGGAGGTTGATTGGAGAAATTCTTGCTGCCCAAGATCTGCAATCTTGGAGATCACCAATAACCAGGAAGAATCAGAGTTCTTTGGATCAGATTAAGGTTTAGGGGCTAAACCTCCAATTGGTATTGGTGCTCAGTGGTTTCTGAGTAGAAAATAGTTCCTTTATGAGATTGACAGCTTGTAGGAAGTGATTGAGATCTTCTGGAAGGAGCGGCTGGGTCTTTTGCTTTTCTCTCTAGGCTGGTTCTAGGGTTTCTACTGAGAACAGGTCAGTTCTAGTGCTTTTTGTCCTACCCCATTTACCTCTACTGTCCTGATTTCACTACAGGTACTGGACTGTTAAGGGAGTAGTTCAGACCTGGAGTTTGTACTGGATTACTTCTTAAGCTGTGTTTCAGACCTGTTAAGGGAGAGTTTTTGAGGCCTTTGTGGTGTGATCAGTATGGACATAGGTGGGAAGGAACCAAAATCCTTTGGAGAAGGATCTATGTGGTCTGGGAGTATGTCAGATAATACTTTTCAGATTACTACTGTTAAATTTGATGGCACAAGTTACCTGGAATGGGCCCAATCAGCCATGATAGCCATTGGGAGAAGGGGAAAGCTTGGATATGTAACTGGAGACATTAAAAAACCATCAAAGGAAGACTCAACCTATGCAAAATGGGTTCAAGAAAACTATCTAATGATGACTTGGCTTTGCAACTCTATGAATCCACACATCAGTAGAAATTACTTATGGGTGAATACTGCTAAGGAATTCTGGGAAAATATGAAGGAAACCTACTCACAACCCCTTAATGTTGCTAGGGCATATGAGCTAAAAGGTGAAGTGAATAACCTTAAACAGGGGGAGAAACCTGTATCAATTTACTTCTCTACCTTAAAATCTCTGTGGCATGGGATTAATCACTTGGAGACCATTGAATGGGAAAGCCAAAAGGATGCAGCAACACATAGGAAGTTGGTTGAAACAAATAGAGTGTTTGAATTTCTTGCTGGACTGAATTCAGATTATGATATTGTAAGGCAACAGTTGCTCACTAGGGACAATGTCACCTTGTCTCAAGCCTATTCACTAGTACATAATGAAGAGAGTAGAAGGAAAGTTATGTTACAAATTCCACCCATGGAATCAGCCTTGGCAGCAATGAAATCAAAACCTATTAGTGATAAGGAGAGGAAAATGAAAAGGGAAGACAAGAGGGACATGGTGTGTGATTATTGCAAGAAGCCAAAACACACTAGAGACACTTGTTGGAAGTTGCATCCTCATCTTGTTCCAGCAAGATTCAAGAAAAAGAAGGAGAATGCCAATGTAGTAGTCACTACTGATTGTGCATTTTCTTCTATTGCAAAACCCACATCCCTAAATGCATTAGCTGCAGTTAGAGCTGTATTAACTTAGTTAGAGTGTGAAGTTGGAGCTTAAGGATCATCTTAGTCTTCAGCTGCTACATCTACTGCTACTCCCACTTCGGCTTTCGCTCACTCAGGTAAAAGAGCTACTGCATATCATGCTTCATCCCCAGGTAGTACTAGCCGTTTTTGGATTGTTAATTCAAGTGCTTCTGACCATATGACTAGTTTATCCTCCATGTTTACTAACTACTCCTTATCTTCTGGAAGAGAGAGTTTCTATTGCTAATGGCTCCCTTGTACCTATTTCAGGCAAGGGAGATATCAGAGTGTCTAATACCATCTCATTATCCTCTGTCTTGCATGTCCCTAAACTTAGCACAAATTTGATTTAGGTTAGTAGCATTACTAAGAATCAAAATTGCTCAGTAACCTTTTTTTCCTGATCATTGTGTCTTTCGGGATCTAGTGACTAGGGTGATTGGGACTAGCTGTGAGACAATGGAATTTACTTGCTTGAACATCCACCTAGAAGGAACAAAGATGTTGGGAGGTCTTTTGTGTCTCAGTCTGTGAGTCAGATTATGCTTTGGCATAATCAATTGGGTCATTGAAAAGTTTTTTTCCTACTTTGTTTGAGTCTGTCCAAGTGTTGGTACCAGAGGATTGTAGACCAACCTATTCTTTGAGCAATAAAAGAAGCATTGTTCCTTTTGGAATTGTGCATACCGATGTTTGGGGACCTTATCACATTAATGCAATGGGGGGTTACAAATATTTTCTTCTATTTGTTGATGACTATTCTTGTTTTTCTTGGGTTTATCTTATGCGGTCTCGAGATGAGGTACCTACTCTAACCCGTGCATTCCACTAGATGGTTTTAACTCACTTTGGAGTAAGGATCAAAATTCTCATATCTGATAATTCCAAGGAGTATTTCGCAAAGCCCTTGGCCTCATATCTACTTAGAGTATGGAGTTATCCATCAGAGTACTTGTCCTCATACACCTTAGCAAAATAGAATAGTTGAGAGAAAGAATAGACACATTCTTGAAATTGCTAGGAGCATCATGCTAACTTCTAATGCTCCTATTTGTTTTTTGAGGGGATGCCATCCACACAGTTGTCTACCTTATCAATAGAATTCCTTCACGGGTTTTAGACATGAAAACACCTTTTAACCTATTGTACCCTGATAAAGACCAATTCACTATTCCCCTTAAGACCTTTGGGTGCACTTGCTTTGTTCAAATCCTTGGGCGTCACCATTCTTAATTTGATCATTAAGGCAACCAAGTGTATTTTTCTTGGGTATGCACAAATCAAAAGGGATATTGCTGTTATGATCCAGTCTCTGGGACTAGGTTTGTGTCTATGGATGTTACATTCTTTGAGGATGTCCCTTATTACTCCAGGACTTCACCCCAAGGGGAGAGTGGTGAGTAGGGTGTTTTTGCTCAGGAAATTCCATTGCCTATTCCTATCAATGAAGGGGAGTGTAGTGAGGGGGGCTATCAAAAGTGTAAGGAGTTGAGAGTGTTCCACAGACGATGGTGGAAGCAGGTTGGTTCCGGTAATGAACAGTCTGGGCCGCCTCCAGTCTCCTCCGTGACACCAGATTCAGGTATTTCACCCTTGGTACCTACAACTTCTGTATATGATATGCCTACTACCATCACTGAACCTCAACCTCCCACAGATGATCTTGACCTTCCTATTGCAATACACAAAGGAAAGCATCACTGCACCTCATCTACTGCACATTGCATCTCTCAGTTTCTTTGTTATGACCATATTTCACCATCATATAAGTCTTTTTTGGTAACCATTGCTTCTGTACCTATCCCTAGAACTGTGTAGGATGCCTTAGTAGTACCTGAGTGGAAGGAAGCAAGGAAGGTTGAGATGGATGCACTTATAAAAAATGATAAGTGAAGTACAATGCAGATGGGTCAATTGAAAGATACAAAGCTCAATTGGTTGCTAAGGGATACACACAAACTTATGGTATTGATTATGTAGAAACCTTTGCACCAGTCGCCAAAATGAACACAATCAGAGTGTTGTTGTCTCTTGCTACAAACTTCTCATGGCCATTGTTCCAGATGGATGTTAAAAATTCTTTCCTAAATGGTGATCTACAGGAAGAAGTGTATATGGAGTTACCCCCAAGCTTCTATAATGAAGATAGTTGAAAAGTCTACCGACTGAAGAAGGCCTTGTATGGCTTGAAACAGTCTTCAAGGGTGTGGTTTGATATGTTTATACATGCCTTGGAAAAATTTGGCTATGCATAGGCCCAATCTGATCACCCTTTCTTTTTCAAGAAAGCATGTTCAGCTTTAACTCTCCTGGCTGTATATGTTGATGACATTGGGGTGACAGGCAGTGATAGTAATGAAATTAAATCTCTCAAGAAGCTTCTTAGTAAGGAGTTTGAGGTAAAAGATCTAGGGGATTTGAGATATTTTCTGGGAATTGAAGTGACTAGACCCAAGCATGGTATCTTCATACCTCTGTCTAACATGCCCAGATATTTCTTATGATGTTAGTGTTGTCAGTCAGTATACGTAGTCTCCCAGAACATCCCATATTCTTGCAGTTGAGAGGATACTTGCCTACTTAAAAAGGTGTCCAGGCAGAGGTATACTCTTCAAGAATAATGATCATATGAAGATAGAAGTGTACACTGATGTAGACTAGGCTGGATGTGTGGATTATAGGAGATCTACCTCAAGGTACTGTGCCCTTGTAGGGGGCAACCTTGTCTCTTGGAGGAGTAAGAAACAAACTTTTGTTGCCTGCTCTAGTGCTGAAGTAGAATACAAATCTATGGCTAATGGGGTAGCTGAAGTGTTATGGTTAAAATCACTACTTGAGGAGTTGGAGGTTGAATATGAAAAGCCCCTATGTTGTATTGTGATAATCAAGCCGCTATTAATATTGATCATAATCCAATACAACATGATAGAACCAAACATACTGAGGTGGATCGACACTTTATCAGAGAAAGAGTTGCCTCCAAAGAAGTGTGCCTTCCTTATGTTGCCTACGATATGCAGCTTGCCAATTTCTTCACCTAAGCAGTTACAAGGGTCAAATTAGAGACAGATTTATGCAAGTTGGGAATGACTAATCTCTATTCCCAACTTGAGGGGGAGTCTGGAGAAATAGACTAGTAATTTAGTGAAGTCCCTGCCATATTAGTTGTCTTTTTTTTTATTTATCTGTTATTAATCTTTTGGGCCTTGTTATTAGTCTTTCTAGGCCTTACTGGGCCTACTATTATTTTTGTTATTGTTTATTAAGGAGTGTGTTGGGCGGCAGGGGCATAGATGTCATTGTAGATCTTATTATAATAGAAACATATAAATACCTAATCTGGGCGGCAGAAACTAATTAAGATCTGCGCCCTTTCCCTTCTCATTCTTCTTCTATTCTCTTCCTCTCTTCTTTCTTCCTCTTTTCCCTTATTTCTTTTTGTTTTTTTCCTACTGAAACTACATCAGAATACGGATTGACTGTGAACAGCACCCACCATCTGAAATTTCTTACTTGAAAACAGCATAGATAAATCTTACCATATTATTAAGACATTGGATACAAAACCAGTGTACCAATGTAGGGAACAATTACATCTTGTCTCTTTGGAATAATTTTTCACTATAAAATTGATGTAGGATCAATAGTTCCGATACCAACTTATGTAGAATTAATAGCTGTGATACCAGCTGATGTAGGACTGACATGAATCAAGGATGAGTCTAGGAGGGTTAATATGGGTTTATAGATGATTTTGGGACTAAAGATATTGGCTAGGTTAGGGTCTAAGGATCTAACTACAACAATTACAGATTTGACCCACATTTGTTAAAATTTATAAATTGTGGAAAACAGGCCTAGCATTGGAAATTTTCAATGAAAATTTCCATGTAGATTAAAAAAATTCTAGGGTTGGAATTTTCTATGTAGGTCTAGGTTATGTATCTGTAGGAGTAAGGCTGTGTACATCTTTCCCTCCCCAGACCCTGCATTGTTAGGAGCCTCGTACATTTGTCCCTCCCCAAGCCATTAACCATGTTTCCTCTACCAATCATCCTCCCGGAGGCCAAATCCTAAAAAACACAAGAATGCAAAAAAAAGTTACTAAACAATTCAAAGAATGGGTAACTGCTAATGGATAATAAATTAATAAGCAACTTTGGGACATATAAGACATTTGATAGTGAGAGGCCAAATGATAGAGATATAGATCCTCGGCCAACAATGGAGGAGAAGAATCCATCAGCCAATCTCACTTTATCTCTACCAGAGAGAAGGGGTGTATGATTGGAAAATGGTTGACCTACCAGCCATATGGCTTGAAGCACCTGGATCAATAATCCATGGGGATTCCAGAGTGTTAGTAGAATACATGGAAAGCAAAGGTACTTGAGGAGGAAGCAAAAGAAGTCGAAGCTGTGGATCTAGAATCTACATGGTGAAGTGCCCTACCATACTGCTCCAAATGGTCACTAAAGGAGTTAATAATATCCTCCCTGAGATCAGAACTAGGAGGACAACCCTGAGTAGAACTCATAGTAGAAAGATTATTCTAAGGCTCTTGAGATGCTAAGTTTGCTGAAGTGAACTTCTGACTTGGTTTCTTGTTCTATTCCTATGTTGATTTCTTGCTTAGTTATTGTGCCCATTTAGGTTTTCCATTCAGTTTCCAACAATTCTCTTGGGTATGCCTAGATTTCTAGCAATGGGTGCACCACAACTTATCTTTATAATCCACTCTTTTCTGACCTTTCTCCCTTTTGTTGAACTTCGGTTATTTCTTACTGCTAGTGCAAGACTTCCCCCTCAGGAGAATTCATAGCTGATCTCCTACTGTCCTCAGATTGCACTAAGGATACACCTCTTGGACAGAAGGGGCGTCCTTACTGCCCAAATCTGCACTCTGACAGGTTCATACATGGGATTCAGCAGTGCCACCCCTAGGTTCTTTCACTTTTCCATTTATATATCCAACTTTACCCCTGGCTGTAATATACAGCCACATCTCCTTCGACCATCCCAAATATTTCTACCATCTAAGGGGGTAATAGTCATTGGGAAGTTTGCTGTATCATGACCACTGTTTAAAACACTCTGATTTGAAGTGGTTCCTGAAGTTGCAGAGTCTTCATAAGCCATAAGTAATCACTTATCAATGATCTGCAATTTCAGCCCACACACACAGGACAGCAGCCCCTACTTTGTAGAGTGATTTTTGACTCAAAGAGAAGTTCCAGAAAGTACAGCACTTGCTGTTACATACATTAACAGGTCTACCAGAGGTTCAACATTCACACAGTTCTGGATCTACAGATCCACAAATAGGGTTCAGACCACCCTTGTATCATTCAGCCAAGGCAGGCCACTGCCTGTTCTTGGTAACCAGACCAAGAACTGAAAAAAAGAAAGGGCTTAGTTCTTGTTCTTGTTCAGTTCGAGTAGGTTTCTGGAGATTCAAGCCCCAATATAGTAAGAAAAAGAGGAAAAAAAACCAATGACCTCTTAGAGAAGATTCAAAACACCATGCACTTATTTCTGGTATTAGTTCTGTTGGGTTCTGATCTAACTGTGTAAGAGAGGAAACGGCCGAAGTGTTCTCAGTGCAGGTTCGACCAGGTTTCTTCCATTCTCAGTCCAATGAAGAGGGGGAAGCTTCAGCTAGAAGAGGATAGGATTTACAGAGCCTAACCTGCTCTGATACCATGATTTCAGAGAAGAAGATTAGAGAGGCAAAATGTATTGCTGGCGGTGCCAGCGTATATATCTTAGGGTAGCTGAACATAACAAAAAATAAAAGAAAATGCAAAAGTGCCCCTTAAGGTACATAACAACTGAACAGTACATCAATTCCCATGCTTGCCATTTCTTTCCAAAGGATGACTTGTCCATTACATGGTTTTTCATGAACAGACTTCCTGATGTAGCAGATCTCTCTATGGAATTGCATTGTATTGAGATTGCACTAAGTTTTTTATTTTTATTTTTATTTTATATTTTAACTAACCATGACAAAAGGTAGCATAGCAACTCTGGTTTTCAATGGATTTTTCTTCCACTAGCATTTTACACTCAAGCTTGGTGGAAGAAGCATAGGAAATTTATAGGAATTGTAGCCTATAACAGCCATGTCCTAGTTCTAGTTTGAGTTATACATAAATACTCCTTGTTGCAAATGTATTTTCATTCTTGGAAAAGTAACAAATATAAGGAATTAGATTACTATATAATCTACTTTCAAAATTAGTGAGGTTGTAGTTGGAATTATAGTTTAATATCCCTTATTGCGAACTTGTTATCATTTCTGAAAAGTAATAATTATAAGAAATTGGATTTTGTTCTTGTCTATGGTTCTGATCTTTTATTTTAATTTTACATTTTTTTTAATTTCTTAGTTATTGATCTCCCAAGATTAGCTTTTATGCATCACAAACAAATTGTTCATATGATCTCTTCTAACTTATTATAATCTTGTTACACAGTCAGGGCATGATGAAAGGAGTATTCCAGGGAACACTATTGCTGTTCAGGCAGATATGCCATTTGGTGGTCTGACAACTTTTGGAACCACATTCTTATCAAAATTTCAGTGTTCCCAGATGCCACATCCAGTAATTTACCATTACAAGCTTATCATGACACATTTTTCCTTCTATTCTTATAGATTAACCATTCTTTTTATGCATGAAGCTGCTAGAGCATATTTCATTTGTGGACACACCTGGAGTTTTATCTGGAGAAAAGCAACGAACACAACGAAGCTATGATTTTACAGGTGTTACATCATGGTTTGCAGCAAAATGTGACCTCATTCTTCTTCTGTTCGATCCTCATAAGCTTGACATAAGTGATGAATTCAAACGAGTAATTGGATCTCTACATGGTAATGATGACAAGATACGTGTTGTTCTGAACAAGGCTGATCAAGTTGATACGCAACAAGTGAGAAAGCTTAGATGTTTTATTTTTTAGTTGTCATCATACTGCCTTTATATTCTTGACCTGGTTACTGGTTGGTCTGTTGTAGTTGATGAGAGTTTATGGGGCACTAATGTGGTCACTTGGGAAAGTTCTAAATACTCCTGAGGTTATGCGTGTCTATATTGGGTATGTGTCTTTCATAATGTTATTTTGCTGAACTAATTTTTCCTTTTGACATGTTTTCATTTCATTTCATCTCTCTCTCTCTCTCTCTCTCTCCATTTCAGTTTGTTTATGCTTTTCATTGTAAGGATCTGGTGGGCATCTTCTGAATCCCTAAATTTATCCATCAATAAAACAAACATTTTAATACATGGTTTATTTTATTGCTAGGACTACAAGCCTGAAATCCTTTAGAGTGCTTTTTAAGAAATCTGGATGTGACCGAGTTTTTGCACTCCTTAACAAACATGTAACAACTGGGAGGAATATGCTTAGGTTTAACTTAATTTAATGCATGTACTGTACTCTGCCAAATTTAAACTTTCTGCAAGTCCATTATTTGTCAATGGAAGATAGATGAAGAGATCAGCATATTTCCTTTATGTTATACTTTTTTGGAGGGGAAAGAGGATTCTTGTTGTCATCTTCTTTATATGTATCTCGAGTGAGATGACATAGAGTTCTTAATTTTCCTTGAAAGTAGTCAGATGTAAATGTCTTGGTTGGTTTCAAATGTTAGTCTAAAATTTACATTTTCTAGAACCTACTTCAGTTTGGGTTTTGTTGGCATTTTTAGATTTCACTTTGCTTAGTATTTGTTTAGATATGCAACTTTGGTTGGCCTTAATCTGAATATAGGTCAACTTCATTTTGGTTGACATTTTGTTCTCGACTTTGACAGTTCATTCAATGACAAACCAGTGAACGAAGTAGCCACTGGTCCAATTGGGAAGGAGCTTTTTGAGAAAGAACAAGAAGACCTTCTTTCTGATTTGAAAGATATTCCAAAGAAAGCTTGTGATCGCAGAGTATATTCACTGTTCCAAACCTCCAATTCTTTTTTCTGATATTTTTTTAGAGTAGAGAAAATTTCATCTGCTTTCTTCTTCGTACATCCCATTCAAAGTGGCATTTTCACAGATCAATGAATTTGTAAAACGTGCAAGAGCTGCTAAGATTCATGCCTACATAATCAGCCACCTTAAAAAGGAGATGCCAGCAATGATGGGCAAAGCTAAGGTTCAGCAGAGACTTCTTGATAATCTAGAAGATGAATTTTCTAAGGTGTCTCACACAAACAGATGCATGCTTACATTGTTACGGTTTTTTGTGATGCATTTTTTATCGTCATTTCATTTCTGCAATTATTTCGTTGTCACAGGTCCAAAAAGAGTTTCATCTCCCAGCTGGGGATTTCCCAAATATTGAACAATTCAGAGAGATTTTAAGTGGTTATAACATAGATAAATTTGAGAAGTTGAAGCCTAAGATGATAAAAGCTGTGGATGATATGCTGGGTTACGATATCCCAGAACTCCTGAAGAACTTCAGAAACCCCTATGAGTGAGAAGCTGTTAGTTAAAAGACATCAGCCGCTGAAGAAATGAGATAAGGTTGAGCAACTGCAAACCATATGCTGTAGGGCCTTGTACATCTGAAAATCCTGCTTTTTTCTTCTATTATGTCATTGTTCTAGTAGCATTTTGAGATTTTTCCATGCTCAAATGTGTCACCATTTGCAACCGGTGGACTTCTGAAGATCCAAATTAAGGAGAGCCAGCCTTTCTCTAAAGGTGAGTCTTGTGACTATGATTGGCTTCAGAATGGCTATTAATTTTTATTAATTTCCAATTACATAAGTTGGAAAATATTGTAACTACTCCTAACATCTGTATTCTTTTATCTGTATGCCTTTTTATATATTTATTCCATGGATGCAAGGGCATGCTACCACCATTCACTTATCCCTTTCTCTATGTTTTTCCCATTTAAATCTTTTGTCTGAGGCTCTTAGCCATCTGTTTATTACGTGCTAGATGAATCTGATATAGATCTTTTGAGTCAAGGTAGATAGAACAGTAAGGGCTTGTAGATTCAAAGAACTGCATGTTACACGCTGCAAAATGATCAGACAAATCGGATAGGGGTGCATCTGAATCCCTACCGGACAAGAATACGAGGCATCAAATTTGATAGGATATCAGATTGATACGTGAAACATATTTTCGAATTCAATTCATTTATGTATCTGAATATCTGATTCAAATTATCATATAATCCAAAACCCATTAAATCTATAAAAAAAGTATAAAACTGGCACAAATCTACAGATGTTCAAAAAAACGATACAAGAGATTATATGCTTGTAAGACAAAATAAGTCATCTAAATCTCAAATCCCACTTCATTCTAAAGAAGTTTAAATTATAATCTGCTGCCCCAGGCTTGGGGAATGTGAATTTAATAAATGTTCAACTATGCCTAATCTGAGTGGGTATGTAGATATCCAAATGAACTTGTGCGCAGCCTTCACATAGAAAAGAACGTAACAAATTGGCAAAAGGAATCCCTTTCAGAAAAATGTAAATAACAGTATCTCCGAGCACCAACCTTACATGGGGAATATCTGCTATGCTTGTTAATGATTGGTGATTTGGCCCGACCTAATAAGTAAAGGACATATAGATGTGGCCTGCTAGCCAGACGATAAATCAGCATGTGGTGCCATGTCAGCTGATTGGGGGACTTTGGGTGTTCATTCACTTTGGAGTCGGAGCACCTCGGTACCCACGTACGCCGATGTGCCACATAACCGAACCTAGAAACTTGCCAGTTGTTTTTGAACTTCTCGGGATCATGTCGCGTAACTGTAGGCCTTGTTCTCACTTTGCCCAAATCGGAGGGAAACGATAAGCCTTATTAGCTGGTACATTACCCTCCTTCCAAAGCGGAACGGGTTCCTACGTTGCGGGCCGAGGATTTCGAGAGCGTTTCGCGAGACCCACGACAACCCAACTATATAAGGGCATCAACCCCCAAGACTCAAGTATGCACGATTACTTGCTCACTAGCTTACTTGCATTCAAGCTTTCAACTCGCAACCAGAGTACAATACTAACTTAAGCATCGGAGCGACCTCGCTGGATTGGCCACCCCAGGTTCTCTGATCCTTTGTCTTGCAGCTTGGTCTAGCTCGCTACGTGACTAGTGTCCAGGTAATCTTCCAACTAGGAGCTTCTATATCGCGTTCCATCAATTGGCATCGTTTGTGGGAACCGATAGAAAGTTCAACCTTACACCTCATCCATCACCTTACTCTCTCTCAATGGCATCTCCAAGCAACACCGGAAAGGGCATCGACATGAGCGTCACTAGGGGGCAGGACCGCCCAGCATCACTCCCTTAAGGCCCTTCAGTGACTATTGGGCAGTTCACTATCCTGCTGACTGCCTTATGGGTCTCCCGATCAAAGCGACTTGAAACCAGTAGATACACCCTTGGTGGGGTTCAGCAGTGAAGAAGTCAAACCCCTTGGCCAGGTCACAGTACTAGTAGAGCTAGGGACGTAGCCAAACATAATAAGATTCGAGCATACTTAGTGGTTGCGACTTCATCCCCTTACAACGCGATCGTAGGTCAACCCATCTAGTACGTCTTACGTGCAATAATATCAACATACTACTTGGTGATGAAGTTCCCGACATATTATGGAGTAGGGGTCATACGAGGCAATCAACTCGAGTCTCACAAGTGCTACGTGGCTGCACTGAAAGGTAAGGCGAAGTTGGTGGATGATGTCAAGCTAGAGCAACCAGCAGACTACATCGAGGAGCAAGCTGCCCTGATGGAGGAGACAGTCCATATACCAATTTCCAAAACTGAGCCGACCAAGACCCTCCAGATCGGTGCTCTAATAAGCGAACCACTCCGAACACAACTAGTAAGCTTTTTTACTTAATAATTTAGATGTTTTCGCTTAGTCCACGGTAGAAATGCCTGGCATCGACCCTAGTGTGATATTCATAAGTTAAATGTGGATCCTTTAGTTAGGCCAGTTAGACAAAGAAAACACAACCTTGCCCCAGAGCGGTGGTGGGTGCCGATGAGGAGGTCAGGAAACTCCCCGCCGTAGACTTCGTCAAGGAGGTTCATTACCCGAGCTGGGTGGCTAACTCCGTGCTGGTGAAGAAGGCCAATGGAAAGTGATGCATGTCTGTCGACTATACCGACCTAAATAGAGCTTGCCCGAAGGATTGTTTCCCCCTTCCCAAGATAGACCGCCTGGTAGACACAACCTTAGGGCACGAGTTTCTAAGATTTATGGATGCCTACTCCGGCTACAACTAGATTAGGATGGGCATAGCCGACCAGGACAAGACCGCTTTTGTAACTAAGCTAGGTTTGTACTATTACAAAGTCATGCCCTTTGGTTTAAAAAACACTGAAGCAACTTTCCAACGACTTGCAAACAAAATTTTTGAACCGTCGATCGGTAATAAGATTGAATGTTATGTTGATGACATGATCATGAAGACCCAATTTTCAGACTCTTTAGTTGATGATTTAAATTCTGTTTTTCAAATTCTAAGAAAATTTAACATGAAGCTCAACCTGAACAAGTGTGTCTTTAGGGTCACGTTGGGCAAATTCTTTGGTTATATAGTGAACTGATGTGACATTGAAACCAACCCTGATAAAATTAAGGCCATATTAGAAGACAAAAGAGGTCCAGACACTAAGAGGCCAAGTAGCCACCCTAAACTGTTTTTATGTCTAAATCGGTGGGCTGGTGCCTACCCTTCTTTAAACCAATAAAAAAGAACAAAGGCTTTGTATGGACCGAAGAATGCCAACTCGTGTTTGATGAGCTAAAAAAGTACCTAAGTACCGCACCGGTTTTGACCCAACCTGAGGAAGGTGACAAGCTGAAGTTGTACCTCTCCGCGAGTGATGAGGTGGTCAGCTCGGTACTAATCAGATAAGTAGACCGGGTCCAACGACCTGTTTACTACGTAAGTAAAGTTTTGTAGGATGCAAAGACCAGGTATCCCCACATTGAGAAGTTAGCATATGTGCTAGTAGTAGCAGCTCGGAAACTACGTCCGTACTTCCAAGCCCATACCATTGTCGTCCTCACCAATAGACCTCTAAGGCACATTTTGCTTAAGCCTAAGGTGTCGGGTAGGTTGAGGAAGTGGTCCATCGAGTTGAGCGAATATGACATCCAGTTCAAGCCACACCCAACAATCAAAGCCCAAGTCTTGGTGGACTTCGTAGCAGAATGTACGTTCAGCACACTGGCCCCTAGCTGATTGAGCTCGCTAACATGTCAGAGGCATCAACCAGCGCGGCACCTATCCTAGTTAGGGTAGGACCAACTTGGGATGAGGAATCCTAGATCCTCCACGTAGATAGCTCATCTAACTAGTGAGGAAGTGGTGTTGGAATGATACTGTACGGCCCGAGCGAGGTGAAGCTAGAATATGCTCTCTGATTCGGATTCGAGGCATTGAACAATGAAGTAGAGTACGAGGCACTGATTGTCGGGCTAAGTCTAGCAAAGGAAATGAGTGTAAAACACCTCGTTGTGTGTAGCGACTCTCAGCTGGTAGTAAACCAAGTCAATGGTGACTACGAAACTCGTGATTCAACCATGGCAGCTTACCTCTCCAAGGTCAGGGAAACCCTACCGTGCTTCCATTCATGGTTCATCAAGCAAATACCGAGGTCCGAGAATGCTGTGGCCAACGCCTTGTCACGATTAGCAAGCACTAGCGACAACATAATGCGGACTGTATACATAGAAGACCTACCTCAACCCAACATTCTCAGTGGGGCAGAAGAGGTCACTCCTGTGTTGCAAGCAAAATCGAGCTGGATTGACCGGCTCGTTAATTATCTATTCAATGGGACCCTACCAGTAGAACACAATGCAGCTTTGAGGGTAGAGTGTCAATCAGCTCGGTATGTTCTTATCGACGGATGGCTGTACAGGAGGTCCTTTACGCTCCCCTACCTACGTTGCTTACGACCTTCAGAAGCTGAATTAGTACTTCACGACATTCATGAAGGACTATGCGGAGGACACTTGGGGGGTAGAGCGCTTGTCCAAAGAGCACTAAGACAGGGCTACTACTCACCTACCATGAAGGCAGACACACTTGAGCTCGTCAATAAATGCGACAAATGTCAGAGGCACGCCAACATCCTCCATCAATCTACTGCTGATTTGAAGTACCTGACCAACCCGTGGCCCTTCGTCCAGTGGGGGATTGACATCCTCGAACCATTTCCGCTGGAATTCGGGCAAAGGAAATTCTTGGTCATAGTGGTGGACTACTTCACAAAGTGGGTAGAGGCTGAGCCATTGGTGAATATTACAGCTCAAAACATGCAGAACTTCTTCTAGAAGAACATTGTGTGCCATTTTGGACTATCCAAGGTGCTGATCTCAAACAATGGAAAGCATTTCGAAGACATTAAGTTCCAGAACTGGGGTGCCGAGATGGGGATTTAGCAAAACTTCACTTCGGTGGCACACCCATAGGCGAACGGATAGGCTGAAGTGACGACGAAGAGGGGAATGATGACGAGCTTTGAACCAACTTGGACCTCATTGAAGAAGTACGCGACCTGGCCTATATTCGGATTGCGGCCTACTAGCAGCAAGTAGCTCAGTACTATAATTCTCAAGTCAGAAGATGACAGTTTCGAGTTGGTGACCTGGTGCTCCGCAAGGTAATGGCACTTGAGCTCGGCGTAGGTAAGCTCAGACCGAACTAGGAGGGTCCATATTGGGTGAGACGAGTGTTTGGAGAGGGCACATATGAGCTCGAGACTATGGAAGGGAAAACAAGTACCTCGAGTTTGGAACGATAACAACCTGAGGAGGTATTATCTATGAGCTCGCAACTTCAATACGACCAAAAAATTTACTAAGTCCACAAGACCACCGAGCTAGTCAAAAGGACATCGAGTTGGAGAGATGATTGTAAGTCGCTCCTAGAGACTAAGGACTATGGTGTTGAGTTAACAAAAGACCTCGGATAAGTCCTAGTTGCCTCTTCGGCATGGGCAGATAAGTCCTAGTTGCCTCCTCAGCATAGTCATGCTAAGACCTAGTTGCTTCTTTGGCAAGGGCAATTTAAGACCTAGTCTCTTCGGCATAGGCAACCAAGAACCCAGTTGCTTCGGCATAGGCAAATAAAATAATAGCTCATGCACAACAGGTTGAGCATATAACCTACAGTGTCTCTGTTCACTTCGGCGTACATTGAGATTGGGTTATTCCTACTTGGGCTTAGCTCATCAGCTTGACACTTCGGGAATAATCCATACTTAGAAAAATTTTGCACAACAAAGATTTTTGAAACTACTCCATTGTATTAATGAAAAGGAGTTCAAAGTACATGCAAAAAAAAAAGTTACATCTACTCAGCCAAGCTCGAACGCTTGGGACATCATATATGTAAGGGGGGTCCAAGAAAAGAGGCAGATAAACATCAGTTGACATGGGGCTCCTCGTCCCCAACAATAACTCCAACAGGCTGGTTGGTCTCCATACAATCCTCGGCAACAACATCTTTGTCTCCCTCCTCCGTTGTCTCTTCACCGAGGAGGTCATCGTCACTTTCCTCCTCGGAGTCCGGGTCCTTGGCAATCTCCCCGGCCATCTCCTTAGTGACTCTAGACGTGGTGATAGCGCTGAGGTCAAGCTTGGGGAACTCATGCTGTGTCAGCCACCTGCTAAGCTTAAAGCCCTTGCGATAGGCCGCTGTGCCAGTCTCGATCAGTAATTTGCATTGCTCCTCTGAAGACTTATACTCCTCGACAGCTTGGACCTTGGCATCCTTGGTCGTGTCATCGAAGATCTCTGTGCACTCCTTCACTAGTGCTTCGAGGTTCTCCTTCTCCTTCTCGAGAGCCTCCCTCTCCTCCTTGAGCTTCTTTTTCTCTTCCCTCAGAAGCACGATCAGCTCCTTTTGAGCTTGTGCATCCTTCCCTAGCTTATGAATTTCACCACGAGTTAAGTCCAGTTTGCACTAAATGCTCTTGAAGGATTCTTCAGCTTATTGAGCCTGCTCCTCAGCTTGTAGAGCCCACTTAAGGTGCATCTCGGATTGGAAAACAAGGAATGAATTGCGGAGTTCACCTATCAAGAAAGAAATAAAAGTTAAGTAAAAAGAAAGAATGACTAAAGGCACCGCCTAAGGACCAGATTACGTACCACCATGCAGTGATTGGCCGCTTTTGCCCCAAGCTGACCCAACGGTAGCTCAACCCATTCCATGACCTTCTTAGTGAAGACTACATCCTTGCTCTTGAGGAGACCATGCTTCGGGTTCATTATACTCTGACACGCTTGGGGGGAACCATCCCCTGCCTAAGTGGACTGGGGCTTGGGCGCTGAGGCCACCTCGGGCAAGTGATGCGGAGAAGCCCTACCTTGGTCTTCCTCGACCAAGTCGATGACAGGAGGTTCTGGGTGCTCAACGACAATAGAGTGCTCGGTGGCGGCAGTGTCATCGTCAGACATGGTGGCAACCTCTTGGGGACAAGACTCCTTCGAGGCCCTCCTCTTATTCCCCCTTTTCATGTTGTTGAAGAGCTCTATAGCAGGGGTGTCAGCCATGGCTCCTACAACAAGTAACGAACAAGTTAGTTGCAAAGTTAAAGATGAAATGTGAAGAAGAGAATACATGTGTGTGTACCAGCTTTCATGAGCTTCTCTTCGAACAAGAAGTCCTTCAGCTGCAAGTTAAGATCAACCCAAGATTGGATTTATCACCGAAGTTTCACTATTCAATTGGACTCCGAGGTTAGTAATAGTCATTCTCCAGTTTGTTGGGAATGACCACCCCCCGGCTACAGAGACTACGAAGTACCGCCTTTTTCAAGCCGACACTTTATTCGGGAAGCCATGCAAGACTTTATACCCAGGTCAAGGAGAGATGTAATATTTGCGCTTCTCGTCCTTAAAGACGCATGCCGAGTTCTTTTTGATGGCACAAAGCGAGCTAAACACCTCAAGAGTTAGAGGTCTATTGTACTCGTGGAATAGGGAGATGTCAACAATAGATTGGATGGAGTTCAGGTGAAGCTGGTCTATGGTGACATTAAAGAATTTAAGCATGTCGACAATGAGAGGGTGAAGTGAAAAACGGGGTCCAGTTACGAGCTGTTCCTCGTAAACAGCGATCTCATCTGGGGCGTGATCCCAAGGGTACTAGCCTAAGGGGATGTTGTACACGTGGTTCTCAGGAAACCTATAGTGGGAGGCTAAAGACTACAACCGTTCGGCCTTCATAGTGGAAGGGCCGAAGCGATCTGGCTTCCGGCTAGGGCGTGAGGTGGATGCCCCTTATTCGTACACCCCGCGGTTTTGCCCTGACGCGTTTGCCATATCCAAAGTAAAGTTCGGACCCTCAACTGAAGCATTTGCCCTGGTAGGACCGAACTCCTCAACATGGATCAAGGTGCCCACCTTGGCCCCGGTGGATTCTTCGCTCTCATCAAAAAGACTATTTACACTAACGCTAGACATATTGAACTAGAGGAAAAAGACAATAGGAAATAGAAACAAGGAAAGATGAACTCACCAAGAAGATCGAAGGAAGCGAAACGACCTCGAACGCAAAGGCAACTAACACTGACCTGGAAGACTAAAGCGCAACCTTAGCAAACTCGAGCACACAATATATGGCGAGAAAAGTGGGCCCCTCTAGCCCTTATTTATAGCCACCACGACTGGGACTCAACAGTCGAGATCTACATGATCCAATGGCTCCCAAGAAAACTGGTTGCACGCCACCTGAGGTCGAAATTGGTTGAGCGCACATCTTGACATCCGTGGAGTTTATAAACGGTGTGGTGTCCGCACGTACCCAGTATACGGTCTAGGGTATTCCTTGGTCGAGCCAAGCGAATCATGAAGGTCCGACCGAAGAGCCACCCTCTGAACCGCCTAGAAGTCGTGCCAAGTCGACCTGGGCTCATCATGAACTCCCCGCACCGGATCGAGAGCCAGACCTAATAATTAAAGGACACGTGGATGCGACCTACCAGCCAAACACCAAATCAATATGTGGTGCCACGTCAGCTGATTGGGGGACCTCGGGTGCTCGGTCACTTCGAGCCAGAGCACCTCGGTACCCACGTATGTCGAGGTGCTACATAACTGAACCTAGAAGCTTGCCGGTTGTCTTCGAACTTCTCGGGATCACGTCGCGTAACTGTAGGCTTTATCCTTACCCTGCCCGAATCAGAGGGAAACAATAAACCTTATTAACTGGTACGTTACCCTCCCAAAGCGGAATGGGTCCCTACGGCAACCCAACTATATAAGGACATCAACCCACGACAACCCAACTATATAAGGACATCAACCCCCAAGACTCAAGTACGCATAATTACTTGCTCACTAGCTTACTTGCATTCAAGCTTTCAGCTCGCAACCAGAGTGCAATACTAACTTAAGCATCGGAGCGACATTGCCAGATTCTCTCATCCTTTGTCTTACAGCTTGGTCCAACTCACTACACCACTAGTGTCCAAATAGTTTTCCAGCTAGGAGCTTACAAATTGTGCTCTATCACTTGTATTACTTGTATATTGTCCTTCAAAGGATATTCTCAAATCTCAATGCACACAGCCGTAACTTGATATGAGGTAGGTGTGAGATGCGCTCTATGACAACCAAATCCGAATTCCACTAACCTCCTCCTTCCTCTTCTCACCAAAAAAATAAAATAAAATAAAATAAAAACCTCTTAAAAGAAAATGGCCCATGCAGGTCTCGAACCTGCGACCTTCGCGTTATTAGCACGACGCTCTAACCAACTGAGCTAATAGGCCTGACGGAATAGCGTTCGGTATATATTGTAAATAATGAAATATTTAGTAAGCAAAATAATGCATACTTTACGCTTACACAAGTACACAACCGAATGTGCATTCCTATTGGAAATCATGTCTATAAAGGAACCAGCAGAGCAGATCCTCAGACCTTAGACGGTGCACGTTAAGTTTTTGGACACATTGATTAGCTGTCCTACAACACATTGTTTTGTCAAGATCTCAAGCGTTAGTTGTAAAGAAGTTGTCATCTACTGCATTTGCCACTACAGGGTGCAGCACCTCCCTTGCGAGAAGGATCATCAGTTTGTCTTTGTTTCTGCTGGTTGGAACCTATCAAAGTACCGACACCAATGGCCATATATATGGGGGTGGTATAAACATCTCTTCTTGGCCTCACCTCACCAGCCATAAATCACCCAAGTCACGTCTACTGTCCAGATCATTGACAGTCCAATGGATTGGCCCCAAATGCTTTCATATCCTCATCTATTACGTACCAATCTATGTTCATTAATGCTATTTTTCCAGGTTCCTGAATCGGTGGTGGCTCCACAATCCACATACACCCTGTTTCTCCTGGGCTGGTTCCTGGAAAATTCGTCTCGTTACATCACAAGGTGTGAAGGAATGAAGATGCATACTCAAACCCTTCTCTTGGACTCCTCTAAGTCCTAACAGGGGCCGGATAATTTCCTCTTTATTCCTCGCTCAAATAGATAAAAATGTCAGTCAAACCCATTAAGAGGAAATTGCTGCAGATACAACCTTAATAGAAACCGATAATTCTCCTTACCCAATAGAAACCTTAACTTTGCTGAGGATTCCAAATTTTAAATTCATTTCGCAAGCTCGTATGATCGTGTATCAACTAGAGGTAAACAGATCAACATTAAGTGCAAGAGGCCCTTAGCCAAAAAAAAAAGAACAATGATGCAAACTTCGTTTGATTTTTGAATAGATTGTTTGGCTGTGCACCTGTGCCACCATATAATCAATTGGAATGGTATGTGGAATTGGGAACCCTGCAATGAAGTCATTCACAAATCACCGATCATAGTAAAGCACAAACAAATATTATTTCCTTCAACTTCAATATTCATTCTACAATCAAGTGTGTCATAATAAACGCAACACCAACCACTTGCATGAGCAAAGAGGAACCCTTTGGGGCATCTTCGCCTCTTATGTACACAAAATCAACTGAAACCAAAATGTATATGACATCCCAATACAACATTGCCTACTTGCTTACCTCTTCTTCTTTATCCTCGTCCATTAGAACACAAGACATATTTCGCCTGTCTAGACTATCCTCACTTATTTTGTGATCTTCTATCAAGCTTCCTTCTCTCTGCATCTTTAGGCCCATATTACATACACTTAAAAAACCTGGCTTCAGTGGGAACAGGGTGATCCGGTACCAACTCATCTTTCTTTCCGGCTTCACCCGTACAATGTTGTCTTGCAACGTTACAATACACACTAGCGAAAGAAAGTTAAAGATGGCATGCAATATATTTACACAGGAACAACATCAGCATTTTGACTCTCATCACATGTCATGATGAGACCTTCAATGTACATGGGAAGAAAGCAGCGGGACCACCGGCACCCTGTTGAGGCTGGCTCTGTCGATGGGACGATCATAAGTACATTATCATGGCGCTGAACTACCCCCATCACGCTTACAGTGCTCCCTTCTTTGATATATCTGACATACAGAGTTTCTTTGGTTAATTCAAGAGCAATCCCTTTTAAAGCAGTGACATAGCATAGTCCCAGATCTGCCTCTTAGAGAAGCAAATTAATGCTCTGCTCCTTGTTATAAATTTCACAAGAAATGGCTTGCAACCTTACAGTTCCTATTTATGGTTTAGAGAATTTAAGGTTCATGGCTTGAGGCAGATCAATTTACAGCTTACCCTTCTTTCAGGCGCATGATGCGGTCATCACTGGAGAGGTTTCGCTCAGCTAGCCAACGTAGAAAACTTGGAGACAATTCTCGGTTTTCCTTGGTTACATCAACCACAGTAGCAGGTCTGACAAATGGGGCAACCTTTGCACCATAACCTGCTTTTACAAGTGCTCTTAACCCTGATTGGAAGTCTGATATATAAAAATCTGCCACATGTTTCTGTTCACAAGGGACAATGAATTGGTCAATATTCTGATAATAAAAGTTTGTTAAAAACCTGAGGACAAGTAAATACACACTTCTAAAATTACTTCTGCTAATCCCTTTGAACCGAGTTAAGCAGACAAATGAGTTTCAAATTTAATATTGATCATGCAGGGATGAATAAGCAGGGAATGTGAAGATTCTAATCATGACAAATAAAATGCACCATTTAACTTGATTTCTAGCCTGAAACACAATACTCTGGACAAAAACCACACAAAGATATGATAGTTCATAGCAGCATGTAGGGCATGATTTATCATGAATAAATGACTTGTAGCATCAAAAACTTGTGTGCTTAAAAAGAGAATGAGATGCAAGCAAATACACCCATAAGAGCCCATGAAAGTTAGGAACTCTCTTGGTAATACAAAGTAGTTTGACATATTACCCATACTTTACACCAAGAACCATCTAAATGGAAAAAGGCACTGATACAGGTAATTAGTTGCACAGCAGTTCATATACAAAGGTATAGATGAATAAACTTAGGTCTTAAGCATGATACTCTTCCGTCATTAATGTACTTACTACAAAACATTTAACTTCATTTAAATTTTGAATCCTTGGATAGTAACTACAACAGTTTCCTTCAAAGGTGAAACTAATATAACATTTTCAACTTTTCTAAGTACATGTTTCCCAGGGATCATTTGAGGTTGACACATATCACTATAACCATGGTGTAGGATATTTTCACAAATTCCATGTCTTTCAACTTATGTTCTCTACTATAGGTGTTAAGTTTGGTTTTGGGGCTCTCTACTATAGGATATTTAAGTTTTATCCATATAATTAAATATTGAAATCCATCCATGAAAAAATAAAACAAAATATTTAAAGTCTCTACAACAATTTTGCTAGCATGAGCATGTCTTGCACCACTGTTCCGGCTCCCAAGACCAGATAAAGGAGGGTTGGCATCAGTTTGGCAGCTGGCACTAAAAACCTGACAACCAAGGATCTTGATATGTCTTTTCATGCTCGTGCTAGGGCAATCTCAAGAAATGGCACGCTTTAACAATGGATATGGTATTAAACATAACGAAATGGCAAAACAGGATTCATATAGCTGACCCTATATAGTTGGGGGCTTGGATGATGATGATGACTGAAAGTCTCTATAACCCAAGAAGTCGAGTTGCAGAGGACAAATAAAACAGCCCATGGCTCACAAGACATAAGAAAACATTACACAAAGTTTGTTATTCCTAGTAAAATATTCTAATTCCTAGGTATCAAAACATTTTGCCTTCTGAACCACTCTATTGCACTTCATTCTACCTGTAAGGCAATGGATTTATATTAGTGCATTAACCGGGCTGACCCAACGTGAACCCGAGTCAGACCAGACTAGTTCCAACCAATTGATAGTGGGGATGATGCATGAACCAAAAGAGTCAAAATTGGAACTTTCTGATTTGTCATATATTTTTTATTTCATTAGGGGTGATATTAGTCATTTTGTTACTTTTTGTGGGGTCTGGCACTCTGGCCTCGGAGACTGATGTTGTCATAGTTTATCTTTAAAATTTCAAAGTCATCAAATAAGTAGCTATCTTTGAGTTGAAGTGGCATACTTATTGCTATAAAAAAAAGTTTCATACTTATCAAAAGAAAAAAAAAGAAAAAAAAAAAAAACAGATGCATTACTGTAATTTCTGTTTTCTTAGTTTGAGTGACCAACCTCTAGACTATATATGATGTGGTTATGTTATAGAAATTAGAAATCAATTAGTAATAAATGCATTCGGTTCAATTGAGTAATTGAATTCTTATATTGGTCTATGCTAAGACAGGTAAGTGACTCCCATGCCCTAGAGTGATTCTAGGCCCCTGGTTTAGTATTTTCGGCTTTCTCTCTTCTTTATCTTCCCATCATTTCCCTAATTCAGCAAATAACAATTATAATCAATAATCCACAAATTTTTCATCAAAGTGGAGGAGCATTCAACATCTCTAAAGGAGTAAAATTGGTAATGGTGCATTTCTCCTATTTCATTAGTTTCAATCTTTTCTATACCAGACCATCTCTGAGAGCCCATGTATTAGCCATCTGCACTAAGTCCTTGTCATCATCCACATTAAATTCAAACCCAAAGCTTTGTTTTAAATGCTCAGAATACCTTCAAATTAAATCGTCTCACACAGTCCACCATCCCAAACATCAAGGTTCAAAATATTGGTGTCGAATCATATCAGTAAGCTTGGATATGGATATGCACCACAATACACTTGGACAGTTGGATACATTGGGGAAACTCTTATAAATCCCAAACATACATCAATAACAATAAATCTAACCTTGAAATAAATATGAATGAGGTATAAACACACAAGAAATACAAATTTTCATAGTTTATATGAAGAGATACATTACAATCATTTACTAAAAATAAATCAAACAATGTTTGAACTTCCAATCTACTAAAAACTCACTACAAGGCACATTAAATTTATTATTGAGGAAAAGAACAGGAAAAGAGAGGGAAGAAGAGAAAGGAGAGGGAGAGAGGAAGGAAGAAGAAAACAAATGGTGAGAGAAAAAATAATAGGCTGGTAACACCAGAACTGATACATCTATATATATACCCTTGTGGCACACAACTAAGAACATTACATCAATTTTTTTTTTTCACTCTTAGAACCAGGCTTAAGGCTCTATTTGAAATTTTCTTTTCAATAAGTAAAAAGATTGTATATTAATAGTCACAAGAAATAAACAATACAAGCATCCCACGGAGAGGCACGAGACACTACCTCTCACTTAGACATTAGAAAAACAGAAATCAATTACAACTGAGCCCAATACAAGCCATCCTTGCTTACCCCTTGTTTAGCTAATCCATCTGCTATAGCATTAGTTATTCTCCTAACCCAACTTCTCATGTTCAAGTTCCTAGTCAGCCATTTAAATTTCTTCATCTCACCTCTATAACACCAAATTATCGAGTCTGGATCTTTCTACCAACCAACCACCAGCTTTGAATCCCCTTCAATCTCCAAATTTGCCACACCCAGTTCACTTGCAATCTGTACCCCCTTTCATGACAGCAAGCAGTTTCGCCCTCATAGAGTCTCCCGATCCCACAGCACCAGATAATAGAACCATAATGTTTCCTTCCTTGCTTCTCAACACCCTCCCTATACCTAAGGGGCCTGGATTGCCTTGGCTACTCACACCAAGGTTTAATTTCACGAAGTCTTCAGCTGGAGGTGTCCACAGAACCTTTTCTTTTACTCTTAAGGATGATTTTTTTGCCATTGCCTTCCAATTTCTCCATAAATCATCAAGGAACCAATGAGAGAAAGAATCCAGTGTCCAAAGCCAATGTATCACCCTCACCAATATACAATCTCTTACATCTTCTTTACTTCTCTCCTTTCTTGAGAAGATTCTAATGTTTCTTTCTTCCCCCAGAGTCCAAATCATTACTGCTCTAGCACTTCTCCACATGATTCTTCCCCTCTTTTTAGGCCAAATCAAGGTAGAAGGGTCAAAAAGCTTATCTACCTCCGCTGGCAAGGTCCAACTGCAACCATACAAAGAGAAAAGCCAGTTCCAAATATCTACAGCAAAAGGACAGGAAATTAGTATGGAAACAGTTCTCTTCATTCAATTTACATATAGTGCACCAGTTTGGGGATGAGCACATGAAAGGTCTTCTTTTTTGTAGTGTATCAAGAGTGTTGATCTTCCCATGATACACTTCCCAACAAAATGCTCCAACTTTAGGACGAATAGGCCAACACCACACTTCCTTCACAGGGAAAGGTTGAGAAGAAGAGGACAAGCAAAGAGATTTAAAGAAAGAAGCACAAGTAAAAGACCCTTTAGGATGAGGGACCCAAATACACTTATCCGGTTTAGTAGGATCAAACAGATTCAAGAAGTAGCAGCAACCCATTCAGCTCTGCAATTTCAGCATCTCTCAACCCTCTTCGGAACCCAAAATTCCAATTGTGACCCAAAGGAAGAATAAGATGAGTCATAAAGTCTGACAGACACTTATTTTATGCAAAGAGACAGAATAAAGAGAAGGGAACAAATCCTTGAGAGCTGAACAGCCAATCCAGACATCTTTCCAAAATTTTGCACCCTCCCTAGAACACACATCATACCTGATGAAACTGAGAAATTGGTGAAGAACACCATGAATAGCTTTCCACAGTGAGGAAAGGGTAGCCCATTGAGACACTCCTGCGTCCCATCCAGAGTTTACCCTGCCATGAATGCTAGCTATCGCATCATGCCACAATTTATCCCTCTCCAAAGGCCACCTCCAAACCCATTTTCCTAAAAGTGCTAAATTCATCTTAATTACATTACCTAGACCCAAACCTCCCTCTTGTAGGCCTTTAGTCACTATCTCTCAACTTACCAAATGATCCTTCTTCTCCTCCCCCGGTTCCCATAAGAAATCCCTCATCACTTTCTCAATCTTCCACGCCTCCTTCTGTGGGATCCTAAAACACAGACAAGTGATATAGTGGCAAGTTTGCCAAAGTTGATCTGATCAACATGATTCTCCCTCCCAAGTTTGCCAAAGTTGATCTGAACAGCGTGATTCTCCCATCCAAAGAGATGTAGTTCTTTCTCCACACTACAAGTCTCTTTGCACACCTTTCAACAATCAATGAGTTTGATACATCATTGATAAATCCATCTTATAGTTCTTCCTAACCATGAAAATGATTTAGAATATATAAAATAAATTATTGGCATAAATTATTGTTTTTTTATAGTTCTTTCTTGCAAATAAAACCATTTATAATTTTTTATAATTTTCTATAGATTGTTGGAACAACCCATAGAAGTTGTCAAAAAAAGAAAGAAAAAACAAATTTTTGACCTATGCTGACAACAATTGAGCTATATCAGCTGTCACTTCTGTTGCTATAACCTTTAGCGGTAGTCATGACCACTGCCATAGGCCTATGATCACCGGCATAGGTCATATTGTTTTCCACTCATTCCACATACACATACCTTTGGATACATGTAGAATACACTCCATATCGGACGTATCATGTCGATATTTGAAACCTTGTAAACATCTTTATAATGTTTCATTAAAAATGGCATCTCTACATTTAATTTCTCATTTTCTAAGGCCAATAGAGAGGTTGTAATATAAATCATTTTCTTTTAGTCTTAAAGTCATCTTAAACCTTTCTTAGCCCATTTGTTACCCTCTTAATCTCAACCACGAATCATGGTAAAAAAGGGTCCCTATGATACCTGAATGTTTATACATTCCTAGCACGCTAATGTAAAGCAATATTTATTCAATATATGACAGCACATACAACACAGACACTTTAAGAGTATAACATTAACACTTCTATAACATGTAAAATAATATATTTATAGATATCCAAAGATTATTTAAATTTGGTAAGCTATGACTAGTAAGTATTAATAAATGAAACTTAGGCTCAGTTTGGAAGGAGTACAAATGCAAATATGTACAATACAAATACATACAAAATTATATAAAATATAAAGGTTTTGCACTCTACATGTTTGTATTTGTACTCCTTCCATAGCTCAGTTTGGGAAGAGTACAAACTACAAATACAAATGCAAAACTTTGTATTTGTAGTTTGTACTCTTCCCACACTAACCCTTGGATGCAAAAACTAAACATAAAAAGCATGACCTAATTGTATTAAGTGGGAAAACTTACCAGCATGCTTGTCTAGGATCCTAGGTATTCATCAGCCATACTTTGTTTACCATATTCAGGTTCATGTATATGTCAATATTCATATCTAGGCATCATACGTATCCGCATACCCATCACCCCCATCCCTGGTGGCAGTGGGATTTGATCCCAAGTCTCCGCTACAATGAGCCAGTGACCCCAATCCTGGTGGTTGCTTTTTGGGTTGATCATGCTCTGCATCTAAAACTAGTCGATGCATCCTTCTCCTTTTATAAAATTTCCACTTGATCACCAGTAAATAATAATGGTAGTAACAACAATAACAATGGCATGAGGAATTGTTACAAGGACTATTTTGTGGCTGAAATCCTTAAAGTTCTTTGCAGATTATTCCTTTGAGGATTTAATGGGGAATTGGTCTGCAGTTGCCCTCACTTCCTTTAGGAAGCCTAGAGTTCAAGTAACTTGGACTCCGCCGATGGAGGGTTTTGTTAAGCTGAACTTTGACGGAAGTAGTCAGGGTAACCCAGGACCGTCTAGGATTAGTGGTGTACTGAGAAATGAGAACAGCAACATCATTGACTTTTTTTCGGGACTGGTGGGAATAGGAGACTGTTTTGATGCAGTTTCCAAATTACATTCAAAAGGAGGGGAGTGGGAGAGAACAACATTCCAAATTACGTGAGGCAAAGCTTTACCTCATGGGGCAGGGCTTATGTTAACAGTGAACAAGCATTCATTTACTCCAAAGGATTCTCACCAAATTAACGATCTGGACCTGCCCATATCATCTCTCTATGTGACAGAAATGTGGTAGGTCAAAAAGAAAATAAGCCTAAACTATCCAATTAAAAATATATTTCTAGTAAAGATATGCTACCATAGCCAAACATGGATATGGATACAAGAAACAGGGATATGACCCTTCATTTCCTACAATTCTATATACAAATTGGGTATGGGTATTCCTAGGATTCAAATTGGATTGGATGTACTTAAATCCAAGTTTGAGCCAATTAAAAATAAGCAACATCCAAATCCAATCCTAAATCCAAATAGATGTATGGGAGGTGGACTCAACTCTGATCAGATTTATTGGATTTTGGATTTTATCCAAGTCCAATGTATCTGTTAGTAAACTACAGCAATGGAGGAATAACAACAGCAAACTGTTGACACATGCCCATATACATGTCCTTTCTGACACATTTAGGCCGTCCATCGTACATGTAGTTGTGTGCCCCTAAATTTGTGTTAATAAACTTTAGGGGGAAATGCACATCATAGTGCATAAGACATATTCACAGATCACACCCAATTTTAGTATTGTATTTCTAATAATTAGATGTTTGTATTCATGAAGGAAAGGAGGGGTAAGTAACCCTTGATAGTTGATACAAAATTTAAAAAGAAAGAGTGGCCTTTTGACAATGCCAGATTTACATCAAGCAAAGCTGACCATTAGCTGATAAAAAAAGGTACAGCTAAACAGGAGTTAAAACTCAAAGAAGGTAAGGTATTTGTGTTAATAAACTTTAGGGGGAAATGGATGTTGATAGGTAAATTATGAAATGGTGAAATTGATGCAGCATTCCGGTACTTCAAGAACACAAAATCAGCCAACCAAACCAATGGAGCATGTGGAAAATAAACATTTGTGTTTCTCCACCATAGATTGAAAGAGAGAACCGTATTTGAACAAAAAAATATATAAAAATAGAGCCTAGATACCACTAAGAAGCTAAACAAACTAACCTCTGAATGCCTAACTCCCCATGAAAATGGACGGTGCTTGGAGCTTGCAGACTTTCCACCCCATCCTTTATACTCATACAATTCTGTAGATACATATACACACCTGGGCACCCTCTGGTACGACGACTCTAATGGAATGCTGCCACAGGTAACAACCTACAGGAAAGACATACAATGTATTACCTTTCAAGATTTTTTTATGTATTTTGAAAGAGATGATAACTTTATTCAAAAGGCAAGAGGACAAAATGAAAGAAACAAGTATTACCGATTTCAGAAACAAAACTGTAAAACAAATTGCAGATATTCCATTGCAGAATTTGATCTATACTTGGATTGAGAAAATGAAAGAAACAAGTTTAAAACCTCACAACACAGAATACTCTTTTTCAGATAAAATAGAATAAAGATAGAGAGAACAAAACAGAAATTTAGGATCCAATAACTCGGTTTTGCCAGTAAACTAAGTGCCTGTTTAGGAGGGCTTTCACAAAGCAGATTCTGGCATTACAAGGTATGCCCCACGTGGAAAGCCTTCAAACCATGTTTATTAAAAAACCTGGAAAGCCAAGAAAACATGTTCATGAGACAAGAAACCAACCATCCAGTGAAGCTATTCCTAGTAGGCTTCTCCAAAATGGCTCAGTCAACTCAGCTCAAGCAACACTGTCAGTTAAGCATCAAAAACCACAACCCTGTCAACAATCAACAAGATGATTATGGCTCCAGCAGCTCTGGCATGGTTTACTCTGATCTATGCTTTCTCTGTAGAAAATGCTAGATGACACAGACACTGTTTACAATTTTGTTGGACAAAAACTAGCCAATAGGAATAATTGGACTAGAAACCAAATGTTTACAAGATCAGAGGTTCAGAAGTACCAATATTTTGCAAGCTTTTGGACATGAATTAGTTAGTCCCAACTCCAAAGTCCAGACCAAGTTAAGGTCTCTAAGTTTCCAAAAACGATTAAGGTTACATTGTAGTTTATATTACCAACAAACTCGATTTACCCTATGCACGATGGGTGAGTTGAGTTGCATAAATAAGGGGTTCAGCTTGCAATGCAAGTGCATCCTTTCTCTAATTCAATGGCTTAACCTCCAAGGACAATTCAAACTTTTCCTCATATAGTTCATCAATATACTTTTTTATAATCTCTAGTCCATCAATATATGAGAGTCCCTCTCAAAGATGTTTCTCTCAAATCCCATTACAAATACTAATGCAAGTCTTTGGAGTGATGAAAATAGAACAGTGTAGTTAAGGTGGCTAGGCAACAACTAGATGCTTTGGACTAGCAAGGTGAGTTGATGTCTAGGTGACAAAAATGAATAACTAAATACATACATATTTTGTATTGTATGAAACTATGAATACATAAGCACTATGGCATTTCATGTTAATTATAAACTATTAATCCCCATATCAAATCAATAAATGAAGAGGTGACTACCAAGACTTGATTTTTAGAAATAATGACAGGACTTTTTAATAACTTCCCTTGTTAAAAGGAAATCACTAATGCAAAACCCTAATTTACCTCTACAAACACTACTATGAACAAAGCTGTATTGTACACGCTCATATGAACATGTTATAGGGGCACAATTAGTTATTTGTCCACACTAAGATGTTAATATTTATACCACCCACCTAGTTATTCACCTAGGGCTGAATCTCCCCAAGGCCTAGATGCCTAGGTGACACTTTTAACTATGCTGAAATACAGTAGTTTTGATCAAGCCTGTCAACACTACCAGCTTCAAGTAGAGTAGGAATGTAGGATAATGATTCACATTTCTTGAAATCTCCACTAATCCTTCATGCAAAGGATTGCCCTAAGAGCATCCATCAATATTTAGTCTAGTGGAATTCCTTTGAATGGGCAACAACATCTGCATAACATCCAATTATCCTTTTTTTTCCTTCTTATGGGTGGAGGGAGGGGTCCAGACCTTGCAGCTATGACAAATAAGCCCAGTGCCCTGGTGGATATTATTACACACATCACCTAATATACCTCTTCTATTTCTGGAATATCCAAGCAGACCTCTTCACTTTATCATACTACAAGCTTAAGGAGCAATTGAAGGTTACCCCCTCAGTTTTTTTATAATAATGATCAAAACAATGTCAGTACCCTAGTAGGTCATTTTCAGTTAAAAACATAAAATGAAGTGTCAAACATGGATTACTCTTACAGTGACAAGCCTTTAGCAACACAATCTAGAGACAGATAAACCAAAACAACTATTGGATCAACATTAAACAAATCCATCTACAATATCGAATAATTGACAAAGAGGCTAATCAAAACATATTTTTCAAGTTACCAAACCCTTAAAACATCATTATTACCATTTACTTTCACCCACCATTCCATATTCAAATGCAAAAACTCCATTTTTCTATTCCTCTCCTTCTAGGGGCATATTTTATGTTTTTGAATGTGTTCAAATATTTTCTCTCTCACATAAGCTCATGTCCTTTACTCCTTTATAGGATTTTTTTCTTGTCCTTTTAAAACCTTTGACCAGGAGTGTTGGTCAGTTAGGTAAGGTCGTAAACATGTCTTCACCCTTTCAGGTCAATCTTGGTTAGGTCTCGGTTGGGTTCTCTCAAACAAATAAAAAAACACTATAAATATCACCCTCACTAAGAATAGCGGTACTGTTCATGACTCATGAGGCAGGTCAGGTTCAGTAATCCTATCCCAATTAGACAGCTTCATGTTGGAATTACTTCAGGTCAGGTTCAGGTTGAGCCAAATCCATGCTGAACCTGAACTGCTGGCATCCTACCTTTTTTTTATCAGTACCACTGGCATCCTACCTTTAATGTGCACCAGATCACTCCTCTTCATTGTCTATTCATTAATCTTCTTTCACATGGCCAAACATCACAGTCAATTTCCTTTATTGTTTCAGGAAGGCAGTAATTGATGGAGGTGTTGGGAAGGGTAAGCTGTTTTAGACTTTTGGGGCCCCACTATTTCAGGTTAACAATTAGGGCTTTTCCCCTTTTTCTTAATGGCATGATCATGACAAGTTTAGTTGTGTGTCTTGTTACCATTTTTTTGATGAGTTATGTCTTGTTATAATAGCTAAATTCAGTTCTTGTTTTGTTCTCTATCTTGCACTCTACTCTCTTTTTTATTGTTTTTTGAGAATTAATTTTTATTTAAATCCAAAAGGTATCAACAGCAATACTCCTATACAAAGTACAAGTACAAATTTTCAGCTCATGTAGAACATTTAATCAAACCTTTGGTCCTTCTGATGTGAATCAAAAACCATATCATGACACAAGTTGAAGTTTAGCCTATCAAAATAAACAATAATGGACGCCCTAAAGAAAATGGCTTGTTCACCTTGCCCATCACTGATCATGACTCACCTTTCCCCCCCCCCCCTCCCTACTCCAGCAGATTTTGAAAGGAATGAAATTCCGTAACATCCTAAAACAAGATATTATCCATTCTTTAGTGGAAGAATCCTAACAATTGTTATTGATATCTTCCACCATGGAAACAGCAAACCTTCCCCTCTTTTCCAAGATCCCAAGCTACTTTATATGCACAATTTTCCATGATTAAACATTAAAATTTCAAACTTCAAATGCTAAATTCACAAAAAAATGTTGCATGATTTTTCCAGACTGTACTGACATAGAAAAGGACAAAAGGACATCAATCTAAGAAAGGAGGTAGTGTGAAGATTCAATCACTTGCGGTTAAAAAATTATAACCAATTAGGACTCCAGTGAACCAAATAGTGTTACCAGAAAAGCCACCAATAAGCACCAAATAACTGGTACCAAGGAAGGAAAGGAAAATGATTTAGCCAAACGCCTTTCCTACCTGGATAAATGCCAAACTTTTCAAGCAATATATAAAAAAATCATTGGTTCAATTAAGAAGCTAGCTTCTCAGTGTAGATGAACTACACAATGATCTTGCTCTCACATTCCAAGTCCATTTTGTTGAATTTCACAGAACCGGGCGGGGAATGAATTAAAAAAGAGGATAAGAAGCGTAAGGTATAATATAATAGCAAGCTAAAAATTCACATTCAGTAAGAATTGAAGTATTGTTGGTGATGAATGTGTTTATATGTTATATTCCCAAAACCCATAGAGAATCATCAGTAACTGCCGCTGCTACTACGAATTCTGTTAAGATTTGGCAAAATTCAGAGCATACCGCAGCTTTAAAGTATAAAATCAACAAAACATTCTAACTTTCAGAACTTTAAAAATGACAATAGGAAGTGAACCATAATAAATTGTCGAAAGAGGAAAAGGAAGAAAGAAAATTACCCCCGTGACCTTGACATACTGTCCATTTTTAGCACCTCTAAGCTCCGCATCAGGATATCTTCTCAAGAACCCTAACAGTCCTCTCATTCCCCAAGTATAATTCCAGCCAACAAGCAGCACAACCGGCAGTAAAATAGCCCCAACCACCACTAATATGACCGGCGTCTTCACCGTGACCATCATAAATCCGCCCACCAACAAACCCATGACCATGACCCCAATGAAAACCCACATTATCAACTTAGACACCTTAAACCCGAATTTAACCTCCTCAGTCAGACTGGTAACTGCCGCACCGTAGGTAGCCTTGCTGATAGAAGTCGATGTCTCCAACTGCCCAGAACGCCGGGTCCCACCGCCGCCCGAGGAGCCGAGCGGACCGGAGGTGATTAAACCAGTGGGCTGTAACGGCATGGGACCAGAAGATTTCTTCTGCAAGGGACCGGAACTGGAAGATTTGCTGAGTGGGCCGGAGTTGGAAGCGGATCGGAGGGATCCGCTGTTATGCTGAGAGGAGGAGGAAGGGCGAGAGGTCTTGGACGAGGGAGGAGCATTGGAGGAAGGATCGACAGCGATGTCGAACATTTTGCCGAGCTCGCCCGATTTCTTGACGTCGCCGCCGGTATAAGGGACGGCACGCGACGCCACTGTAGGTGGGCGTTCCTTGAGTTGTTCCGGGCGGCCTGAGACGTAGAGGCCATTGCTGAGCTGGTGAGATGGAATTCGTGTTCCCATGAAACGAGGATTAAGTAGAGAGAGAGAGAGAGAGAGAGAGAGAACAGTGAAGTGTGAGAGTGAGTGGGTGTGTGCAGGCAGGTTTTGAAGACGGTGGTGATTGTGGAGAAGGAAGGAGGTGATGGTGGTGGGGGATGACAATTTAAAAGACGAGTGTGGGGCTGTTATTTTCTGATAATGCCGTGCATATCCCTGTCTCGAAATGGTACTACAGTATTTGTTTGCTACTTTGGCGAGCCTTTCACCCTGTTACCGTCTTCGGAGGTTGACGTTTTAGTACCCATTCTGTAAATTACCACTTTACCCCTGCTAATTTCTTTTTTTTTTATATATTTTCAATTTCTGAGAAATCGAATCCCATTCCCACACACGACACCAGGCTACAAAAAATCGATCGAAGCAAACCAAAATCTAAACCGTAAAAATAATAGGGTAAATAAATAAATGGTTGGTCCATTCCTGTTCCATGGCACGGTCCACAGTGAAATGTTGACAGAGGATATGCTTATCATACGGCCGGGACCACTTTCGGATAAAAAAATAAAAACGAATAGAAAAATAATTAGGTCCAGCTGTGAGGAGGGTCCCTCAAAGCCCCGTTGCCTCCCTAAACCTCAAAGACAGAGCATTTGTTTAGGGCTGTTCAGGGGAGAATTTCAATTTTCAAGCTTAGAAAGAGTAGGAGAGTAGTCGGTCGGTCACGTCCTATGGCAGCAGCGTAAAGACGATAATATCCTTTTCACCATGCAATTACAAAATAGAATATATATATATTAAAAAAATAATGAAAACAAATGAAACATCCTCTGAGCTCTGTGATTCTCACTTGCCGACGAGCATCCGAAGTCGGAGAGAATGCTTTAAATTATGAAAGTAGGTTTTTGATTGTTTGGAATGAAAGTTCGGCTTTTGAATTTTGATTTCTCTGATTCGAAATCTCTCCTTGATTGTGCATAACGCATGTACAAGCTTATTAGCTGACAACTGTCCAATCGATCTAGACCGTTCAATTGAAAGCCGCGGGATGTCGGACGGCTCGTGTTTGATTACATTGAATGGGATTCCAATCGCTTTCAAGCTTTTGCACTCCTTACAAGATTGTGAGGTGGGTGGATACGACTAATGTCGGCCCGATTTTGCTTCCTTTTTTTTTCGATTTTTAATCACAGTTCCAAGTTTTCAAGCAAACGTTTTCAGTTTTCTTTCAAAATGGGAATTAATTTACCAATTACGTATGAATTGGATCGATTATGGAAATGTCATCAACCGTAAATCGTTTCCACTCTTCTGGGGCTGGGGGGTGTGGATACTGTTTTGGCTTTTTTCGTTAGTCAGTAGTTGGTAGTGGTAGGGGGATCGAGTAGGGAGTAGGGACGTAGTAGACGGATGTTTCTTTCACAATGTTGGTGGTAGGGCTACGAGGAAGGAAGGAGAGAGAGAGAAGACATTTTTGGTTCTTTTATATGATTGATGATTTCATCCGAGTCCGACATCCCTCCTACTCCAGGGTCCAGCGTAATTGTGGTCAGTTACAATTCCAATTTCCAAACGGGATGATGTTGGGAGCTGGAGCTGGAGCTGGAGCTGGACCACTCTTTTGAATTTTGAATTTTGATTTCCTTTTTTTTTTAATTTTGTTTTCCGGATCTCTCTTTCCTCCCCACTACATATGAATGTGTGACGAACAAGTGACGGGCACGAGTCTGAATCACCTGCCAAAAAAAAATACGTTCTAATACTCAAGGTTTTAAATATCAATATATGTTCAACGTTTAAAATATCGATACAGGCCAATATGTTAATAAGGGCATAGATAAGGATGCATCGTAAAGCCATTGATACGATACAATACATCCGATATAGGGCGTGTCATATCAAAATTTTAAACCTTACACAATACTCTACCAACATTATTGACATCACATATCTCATATATGATAGGTCCCACTTTTATAATGGGTCCCAATTTTGAATTTGGATTAACTGAACACTTTAGTTGTTCACTGTGCTGTGGAACAAATGATGAGGTTCCACACTAATATTAAATTCATGGTTCTCATTGTAATAGATGCTGGCCCATCTATTTAACACTGGCGTGGAACCTTCTCATTGTCAGATCAAGTTGGTAGGATGTTGGGACCTATTTTTTTTTTTGCATGAACAATTTTTTGAAAATGAAGATAGGTAATAAGGGCCAAACCATACAAAAAAAAACAGCAACCGTTGCGATTTTGTAAATCGGAGGAATGTTTGGTTGCGAAAGACGTGTTTCTGTTCTCACACTAACTATTCTTCCCTTTTTTTCCCTTGTTAAGTTATCTCTTTTTATTGTAATGCGCAAGTTTATCAATGAAATCGCTTACGTTGAAAGAAGGATCTATACGGCTATACCAAAATGGACTCTGAGGCAACCAGTTAAAAGGTTACTTCTGGGGATATTAAATTGTTTCTTCCATGAGTTATGAATTAACTATTAAGGCTCAGTTTGTTTGGAGTACGAATTTTATTTGCTCTGGTGTGAATACTGTTTGAGTGTAAATTCTGTTTTTTTTTTTTCTTTTTTTTGGCTCTTATTTGATTTTCTCTTTTTTTTTCTTTGTGAGAAGTAAAATGGAGTTAAGTATTCTCACTTTTCTAAAAGTAGAAGGCTTTTACTTTAAAGAAATGTCTTAAAAATTGACCCAAAAAGAGAACCGTTTTTTGCATGGTTTTCAAAACCAGACCAGAAAAATTGGAAACCAATCATCCGTTTTTCCCCAAAACTGTTGATTTTGATCAGCAAACTGTTGAATCGGCTAGTTAACCATTCAAACGGTTTTGACCATTTTTTATTTTTTTTTATTTTTTAATTTTTTTTGTTAGAATGGGCCGATCGTTCGGGTCAACCCGATAACCGGACCCCTGACTGGTTGAGTCACTTGGTCGGTTTTAAAAACCATGGTTTTTTGCCACCAGGTTCTAGGTCAGTGGTTCAACCATCCAGCTCAAACAAATCAGCTTGTAATGTCATCACAAACATATCATCAGCACACAAACTATTGTCCTCATTGAACAGTTTCACGGTTCAACCATCCAAGTCAAAATACATTGACCAAATCAACATTTTTTTTTTTTTGCAAAACAACAATTCAAGGTGGTAAATGGACCCACGAAGGTAATTGGTTTCCAAGTCAATGATATTTTGAAGGGAAAATCTATGATGCGGGAAAGACATGGTATAGGAAGAGTTTTAATCAATCAAAACCCACCCATGAATTTTGATAAATAACGCCTGATTGGTTACCAAGTTTATTATTCTAGTTGATTGATTAACAGTTATTTTTGAAACATTATTGCTTAAACAAATAGCACCCTATATTTTCAAGAAAGAGTATCTAAGGAGTCATTCATTCCACTCTCAAATAAAAGCAATCTTCCTCATTCACATGTCTATCTATTCTAGGAAAAGTGAATAGTTGATTCCACCCTTAAAGGAAAAAATTATAATTTATGATACATGGATGCCCATTTTTAAAGAAACTCATTGTAAAAACTTTCAATTGTGTAAAACCAATTCTTTTAGATAAAATAGGATATTAATTGCAAATCCAAATAAGAAACTTAAATTAGAAATCAATAAATAGTGAACCTCAAAGGTATGCATTTGTGTTTGCTTGGCAAATTTGTCCACAAGTGCAACGTTCATCGCAAGTGCTATGGTGATCACCTATGTATCAATGATCCTCATCGCAATCCCTACGATACTGATTTTTATGTACTTATAGGTAGTTAACTTCATTTTGAAGAAAGGGATATTGTCTAAAACTCACCATGAGTTTTCAGCATTTCTCTTAAACTCACCACAACTTTTCAAAGCATCTAAAACTCACCATGTAGTTTTTATTTTCCAAAACTCACATTCCATTAGTGCACCCTTAATGTTTCTTAACAGAGGTGTCCACATCAGCATAAATAACAACTTTTATGACCAAATCACCCTTGAATGGCGAGTTAGAGGAAAAGAGTCTTTTTCATTTTTCAATTTTCTTTTTTTTACATTTTTAGTGTTTTGTTATAATTTCTAATGTTTTTTATAATTTCTGTTTTTTTTTACATTTTTCTATTTTCTAAAATCTATAAAATTTCCTGTATTTTTGTTATTTATTTACAAATTTTGTGTTTTTCTATAATTTCTGGTGTTTTTTCTACAATTTTTATTTTTGGATTTTGTTTTTCAATTTCTATATCTATAATTTGAAAATAATTTTTTATTTTGTGTGAAATTTCTATAACTTTTTATATTTTTTTGCAACTTTTGTGTTTTTATGTATTTTATATTTGAAAATATTTTTTGAACTTTTTCCCTTTTTCCATGCCTAAATATTAAAATATATGTATATATTTTATATTTTTCTATGAAGGTTAAAATTGTAATATATTAACAACCGTTAGTCTCTTTAACGTTAAGTTAGTGACATGGTGAGTTTTAGACATTTTGAAAAGTTGTGGTGAATTTAAGAGAAATGCTGAAAACTCATGGTGAGTTTTTGACAATTTCCCTTGAAGAAACACGTGGGTACGTATCAAAGAAAAGGTATGTAACTATGTACTCTAACTGAAATCCCCTATACCAAATGGCTTCTACTTCAGACAAGTAGTGGTGGCAATTGGGCGGGTTGGGTTGGGTTTGGTTTGGGTTGAGTTGAAACTCAACCCATTTAACCCGCCAACCCGTTAATAACCCAATTATGTAAAATTAAATGGGTTGGGTTCAACCCAAACTTGCTTTTACCCAATCCAACCTGCCCAACCCCATTAATCTTATATTTATGTACTTAAAACCAAAAACTAACTCCGTTCTAATAAATAAGTTGGTCATAGCTTACTGGTAATAATAGTTGTTATTTACACAAGTGGTGAATATTCAAATCATGTTACATGCATTATTTTTACATAACCAGCAAAGCCTTTTAACTATGTTCGGGTTTTGGATTTGACGAACCACTTAGGTTCGAACTGGTCAGACCAACTTGAACTATCTAATTGGGTTGTCTTTGAGCTAATCACATCAAGAGTGGTTGAACTGTTTAGATCTGGACCCGTCCGACCAAACCAGGTCTCGATTGGACCGGTCGGACTAGAC